AATCAAAAATATACAAAAGTGAAATTAAAGTAACTAAATCAGATGTTAGGGAGTATATGGCAACTGCTTTTTGCTCTCTTGACCCATTAAAATTCCTATTAAGTTTGTTTAAAATAACTATTAAAATTTAACAAATAATAAATAATAAATAAAAGTAGTAAATAGTAAATAAAAGTAGTCAATAGTGGATAAAAATTGAGGTCCATTTGATTTGTGAAAAATAATTTTGTATTACTATGCTCTCTTTACTCTATCCGTGGTATAAGAACCGTTCTCCTTGTATGAAGAAAAGAATTCTTTTACCAAAAGGACGAAATCCATGTCACATTACCTATTCCGGGGCCCATACCTTAACTCGTGTCCAACACCGGAACACAACGCAATCGGGAAGGCCGACACAGAGTAGCCGCTGTTTCCATCCTGATCTCACACCTGTAAAGGGTAGGCAACCTACTAAGATTTTCTAAGATTCTTCCATAGGTTCAAGCTGAAAAAACGTGGATCTTTTAAGAAGTATATAAATGATATAATGCACATCCTATTCTTCCATCAAATTCTCCACCAGCTTCATACTCTGTTGTTATTTGATTTTTGCTCTTTGTTTTGCAAAGAAATTTTCTTCCTTTTCTGGTCATACTTAAATACAGTATTCTTGTTCTTTACTTATCTATATTCATGACTGCTATTCTGAACAAAGCACACATAATCTGCACTGACCATTTGCTCGATGGTCGGCCTGCCTCCCTCAACAAATACATCAAAAAATGGCATTTGGCTTTTGTCAACATCTACTGCTCAAGAACATTTTTTTCTCTCGTCAGGAATCATGATTCCAAGGCTTCGCCCATTCCTGATCATGTCACTCTAACAATTCCACCAGATAATGGTTGTTTCAAAATTGATGAGACCACTCTCACCGATGTTGTGAAGGAGAAAAAGCTTGAGAAGCTTCAACAAATTGGCGGAGTGAATGGCGTAGCTTCTTCCCTGCAAACCAGCTTGGATAGTGGAATCAAAGGCAGTGCTGAGGATATTGCTCGCCGACGTGACGCATTTGGTTCTAACACCTACAAAAAACCGCCATCCAGGAGTAGCTTCTTCCATTTTCTGGTGCAAGCTTTCAAGGATTTCGGCTGTGCCGCACTTTCTCTAATTGGGCTCGGCATAAAGAAGAACGGCTTGACAGACAGTTGTGGTGACGGTGGGAGTATTTTCATGGCTATTTTTCTGGTCATTGCCATCTCTTCCTTCAGTAAGTACATACAGAACAAACAGTTCGAAATATTGCCTGAAGCCAGCAACGACATCCGAATTGATGTCATCAGAGGTGGCAGGCGGCAACAGATTTCAATATTTGATATCGTAGTCGGAGATATTGTTTGCCTAAAAATTGGGGATCAGGTTCCAGCTGATGGGTTGTTCTTGTATGAACATTCTCTGCAGATAGGCGAATCCAGCATGACAGGGGAGAGCGACCATGTTGAGGTGAATTCAAAGAAAAATCCGTTCTTGATTTCTGGTACCAAGGTGGTCGATGGGGATGCTCGGATGCTTGTCACTTCCGTTGGAATGAACACGACCTGGGGCCAGATGATGAGCCACGTGACGGTCGACAACAACGAGCAGACGCTGTTGCAAGTCCGGCTAAACAAGCTAACGTCTGCAATGCGTAGAGTCTGTGTGGCAGTGGCTTTCATGGTTCTTATAGTGTTGTTGGTCGGTTACTTCACCAGAAATACAACCGATCAGAAAGTCAACACAGAGATCAATGGAAGCAGAAAAAATGCCAATGATAAAATAGATACTGTGGCGGAGATAATTGCTGCTGCTTTCACAATCGTCGTTGTTGCTATCCCGGAGGAGCTGTCGTCTATCGTTGCGCTGACTCTGGCGTATTCAATGAAGAAAATGATGGCCGATCAGGTGATGGTCCGAAAGCTTTTTGCCTGTGAAACTATGGGTTCTGCCACCGTAATTTGCACTGACAAAACAGGTACTCTTACACTTAATCAGATGAAGGTGACAAGGTTTTGGCAGGGAAAGGAAGCCATGGATGGAACTTCTTCTTCCATTTCTTCATTTGTTGTTAACTTGATTCATCAAGGAGTTGCTCTGAATACAACAAGAAGTGTTTGCAGAGGTTCTTCAACGTCAGAATTCCAATTCTTTGGTAATCCAACGGAAAAAGCAATTCTTTCTTGGGCAGTTCTGGACATGAAGATGGATCAGGAGGAAATAAAGAAGAATTTCACCATCCTCTTTGAGGAACCTTTCGATTCTCGGAAGAAACGGAGCGGAGTTCTGATCAAGAAGAAAGAAGATAACACAGTTTACGTTCATTGGAAAGGAGCAGCAGAAACAATTCTGGCTATGTGCTCAAGCTACTATGATGGTTCAGGAGTTATGAAAGATCTTAATGGAGAAGAAAGGATGGAATTCAAGAAAATTATTCGAGGAATGGCGGCAAGCAGTCTCCGGTGCATTGCTTTTGCTCACAAACAAGTTGCAGAAACTGAGGAAGAAAATGTGAAAGAGAAGAAAAAGCTTAAAGAGGAAAATTTGACCTTGTTGGGACTTGTAGGTATCAAGGATTCATGTCGGCCAGGGGTGAAGAAGGCAGTGGAGGACTGCCAGCATGCCGGAGTGAAGATCAAGATGATTACTGGCGACGATGTCTTCACAGCAAGAGCTATTGCCACTGAATGTGGGATTCTTCGGTCGGGTCAGGACATGGATAGTGGAGCTGTTGTAGAAGGCGAGGAATTCCAGAAATATACACCAGAAGAGAGGATGGAGAAGGTGGAGAAGATTTGCGTTATGGCAAGATCGTCTCCTTCTGACAAATTACTCATGGTGCAATGCTTGAAACAGAAAGGGCATGTAGTTGCAGTCACTGGGGATGGTACCAATGATACACCAGCACTCAAAAAAGCTGACATTGGATTGTCAATGGGGATTCAAGGGACGGAAGTTGCAAAAGCGAGCTCCGATGTTGTCATCTTGGATGACAATTTCGATTCTGTGACCACCGTTCTGAAGTGGGGCAGATGTGTTTACACTAATATACAGAAATTCATTCAATTCCAGTTGACGATAAATGTTACTGCTCTGGTGATCAACTCCGTGGCAACTATTTCTACAGGAGAAGTTCCTTTAACAGCCGTTCAGCTTTTGTGGGTGAATTTGATCATGGACAACTTGGCTTCTTTGGCTCTAGCTACAGAGGAGCCTACCATGGGGCTTATGAAGAGGCGACCTGTTGGTCGTACAGAGCCACTAATTACCAATATAATGTGGAGGAACCTCCTAGCTCAAGCTTTTTACCAAGTTGCAGTACTCCTGATCCTACAATTCAGAGGAGAGTCAATCTTCAATGTGACTGAAGCAGTGAATGACACCTTAATATTCAACACTTTTGTGCTCTGCCAAGTTTTCAATGAATTCAATGCAAGGAAGTTGGAGAAGAAGAATGTGTTCAAGGGTATTCATAAGAACAACCTATTTCTAGGGATCGTCGGGATGACCATTGTTCTTCAAGTGCTAATGGTGGAGTTTCTAAAGCAGTTTGCAGGTACAGAGAGGTTGAATTGGGGACAGTGGGGTGCTTGCATAGCCATGGCTATTGCATCTTGGCCCATTGGCTCGATCGTTAAGTGTATACCAGTGCCAGAAAGACCTATTTTCAGCTATCTCAAATGGAAGAAGCGCACATAGTATATTTAAAGCATGAAAATGTATATTTAAAATGTGTTTAACCATTGACATTTGTGGAATTATGGGCTTAAGAGTTATATTTTTCTACAAGTAATTTTATAATTATTCATTCTATTCATGTTGTGCAAATTTTTTATAATTGAAGGTTTGAATGTTTGATTATTAGATGGAGAGAATTAGAAGAAAATGACTTAAATGCAAAGAGCTAGAAAGAGAGTGAAAATCCATATGTGCAGGGTAGGGAGTTTAAGGGGGTAGTAGCTACTTTTCATAGTCGAGTTGATACTATAGACACAGTTAGGTTGAAATTCTTTCCCTTCTCCTTGAAAGATAGCTAAAATTTGGTTATATTCTTTGAGACCGAGATCTATAGGTACATTGGCAGAGATGACCCAAGCTTTCTTTAACAAGTATTTTCCACATCACAAGACTAATAATTTTAAAAGACAGATCTCCACATTTTCTCAAAAGGATAGTGAAACCTTATACTAAGCATGGAAGAGGTTTAAGGAATTGCAAAACTTGTGTCCACGTCATGGGTATGAAACTTGGAGGTTGGTTAGTTACTTCTAGGAGGGTTTAATTAGTAGGGAGCATCAATTCATAAAGATGATGTGTAATGGGGAATTTTGGCATAAGGACTCAGAAGAAGCCATAGACTATTTAAATGAGTTAGCTAAAAAAGCTCACACTTGGACAGGACCTAATGCCACTAATGGTACTAGTAGGTCACAATCATCTGTGATTTGTCATCTTAGGGAGGAAGATAACCTTAAAGCATAGTTAGAAGTTGGAACTAGGGAACTTGAGACCTTAAAAATGAAAAATATAGTCACCCACATAGTTGTTAGGGTAGAAAATCAGGCTCTATGTTTTGTTTGTGGGGGATTGGATCATTTAGCTTAGGATTGCCCAACCTATGGTAAGGTGAGAGGGGTTTGTGAAGAACAATGCAATGCATTAGGCATGGTTAGGAAACCTTTTTCACCCTATTTAGAAACATACAATCCTAGTTGGAGGAACCATCCCAATTTTAATTGGAAGACTGATCAGAACCATCCCACATCATCCAACAATACTTGGAATAGTGAAGTTCAACCATTTAGGTCTTACCCTACACCTTAATACAATGCACGACTAGAAAGAAATCCTTTAAAGAAAACACTTAAGGCATTTATAGAGGCACAAAAGAAGACTAACCAAAAGTTTGATTTTATTCTTACATAGGTGGTTGAAGAAAACAAGGATATCAAGAGTCAACTAAGTTGACCAATGTCCTTATTGTCCAAGAGCAAGGTAAGATTCCATCTCAACCATAAACTAATCCTAAAAATTTACATTTGGTGCAGGAATCTACCTCTAATTCGAAGAACATTCAAAGGGGTCAACGCTATCAACACTGATGAGCTAAATTTATATACATATTAATAGGGAATTTTTACTTTGATATTGTTGATATTTGGATGAGTTTTATGGGATTTTATTTGATTTTACATGGTTTTCATCCTTTGTGTAGGAAATGATTTAATTGGAAGAAATCCTACTCTTTAGAAGTAAATTGAAGAGATCAGAGACTTGAGGATCAACTTGTGCAGAATCCAGAAGTCAGGAACCAAATCTGCTATTTTACCATTGAAGAAATTGCAAAAGGACACATGATCGGGGTGTCGATACCATGCATTAAACGTCCAGAATCAGATTCTATTTCCTATTTTGTGCCAACACGTAATCCGAAGTGTCAGCACCATGCGATCAGCATCCAAAATTCAGTTTCCTATTTCTGTTCCAAGTCCTACTTCTATTTTAATTAGGGTTTTTAAAATCCTATAAATACCCATCCAAATTCGGAATTGAGGAGAGCTTTGGAGAGGCTAGTGGCAGCCCTCTTTTGGGCATTATTGGAGATCAAGATTGAGGTTCTATCAATAATAGAAGATCAAAGAGTTCGATTTCCTCAAATTGGGTTTTGTTTTTCTTTAAGTTTTTATCTATTGTTTGATATTTGAATGTTCATAACTTTGATTTTATATTTTATTATTTTTATTATGAACTGATTTATTTTATTAAGGCTATGATGTAGCCTAATCAATTCAATATAGATTTTGTGATTTTATATTTTCAATTAAATTTATTTGCATGAGGAGTTTATATTATTGAATTTAATGCATTGGAAGTCTGATCACCTTTCAATTGATTTAGTGATTTATGCATGAACTTGAGAAAGAATTGCATAGATTAGACTAATAATAATACAAACCGTGTGCTAGACTATGAGACCGAGAGGTAATTAGCTCACATGTGGTAGTGGAGGAAGAGAAGAGAGTTAGTAGCTCCCCCTTCTTAAACTAGAGGTTTCCATAGAATCTAATGCTCATTATTTTGTTTAAAATTACATAGAGATATGATTAATTTAACAAACCAGTGAAGGATTAACTTGACTTGAGAAAGCTAGTTAATTAATTTAGGGAAATTCGCCATCACATGCAATAACACTCAACAATTTACTAATCCAGAATTTATATTGATTGATTATAGTGAAATCAATGCCTTAGTATCTCATATCTTGGTTAGGTTTAATTTAATGGTTATTTTCTTTTTATTATTTTTTTAGTTAAACTTTCTTCCCATTTGGTTGTTCAAATAAATTTGGATTAATTATTTTGGTACTAAGTTAGACACAATCCTCGTGGGTTCGACACTCTTCTCATCATTATATTACTTGAAGCGACTAGTACACTTGTTAGGGTGATTTTAGTGCATCAAACACTTGTACTAGTAAAGTTATAGAGCCATTGTAGAAATCACCTTAACTAAATGACGCTACTCCAAGTAGCCATGAAGATGACCTATTGAAAGAACCTGAGAATGAGGTTCTAATTCAAGTTCCTTTCCCTCAAGCTCTTAGAACTGAAAAGATTTCGAACAATCAAGGTGAGATTTTAGAACATTTGAAATAAGTTAAGATTAATCTACCTTTGTTTCGTGTGATTAAACAGGTACCAACTTATGCCAAGGTAATCAAGGATCTATTTACCATGAAAAGGAAACACCATGTCAAGAAGACTGCATTCTTGACAGAACAAGTAAGTGCGGTGATTGAGCAGAAAACACCACCAAAGTACAAAGATCTAGGGTGTCCAACAATTGCTTGCCAAATTGGGTCACAAGAGTTCGGTCAAGCTTTTTTGGATTTAGGAGCAAGTGTGAATTTAATGCCTTATTTAGTTTATTTGTAGCTAGGCCTTGGAGAGATAAAACCCACATCTGTGGTGTTATAGTTGGTTGATCGTTCTTGTAGGAAACCAAGAGGGATAGTAGAAGATGTTTTGCTTCAAAATGATAAATTTTATTATTACGTTGATTTTCTTGTTTTAGATACTCAATTTGAAGTTAACAATAAGTAAAAAATTCCACTTATTTTAGGAAGACTATTCCTTGCTATTGCTAATGCTCTCATTAATTGTAGGAATGGTTTAATGAAACTTTCATTTGGGAATATGACTCTTGAGGTGAATATTTTTTATGTTGGGAAGCAACCACAAGAAGATGATGAATGTATCATTCCTACATGATAGATTCACTTGTTGAGGAAGTACAAGAAAGGGAAAATTCTAAATCTCTAGAACACTTCCTCTATGATTTTGATTTAAACTCTGAATTTTTGCTTTATCCTGTTAATGATATTTTTAATGTTTCTTTTATTTTTAATGCTGATCAAGATAAACAAAAGAAGTTTTGGCGACCATGCTTTGAGGAGTTACCACGTGAAAGGGAACAACCAAAGCCATCTTCACTAAAGACACCAAAAGTAGAGTTATCCCCACTCTCTGAAGGGTTGAAACATGCATTCTTAGGTCTAGGTGATACCTTTCTTGTTATAATATCTTCTAAACTTAGTGTTGAGTAGGAAGAGAAATTGGTACATATATTAAAAGAACATAAATCTGCACTAGGTTGGACTATAGCTGACATTAAATGTATAAGCCCATTGATTTGTTCTCATAGGATTCATTTAGAAGAAGGATCTATTCCATGTAGAGACCCTCAAAGAAAATTGAACCCAACAATGAAAGAAGTTGTTAAAAAGGAGGTCTTGAAATTGTTAGATGCAAGAATCATATATCCTATATGTGATAGTAAATGGGTTAGTCCTACTCAAGTAGTGCCAAAGAAATTAGGGGTAACAATAGTTGAAAATGATGAGGGAGTTCTTGTACCAACTAAGGTAGTAACTGGGTGGCGCATGTGCATTGATTATAGGAAATTAAATGCAACCACTAGGAAAGACCATTTTCCATTACCATTTATTAACCAAATTTTAGAACATGTAGCTAGCCATCCTTTCTATTGCTTTCTTGATGGTTATTTAGGATATTATCATATTGAGATAGCTTTAGAAGATCAAGAAAAAACTACTTTTACATGTCCTTTTGAATTGATCTCTAAATTACCTACACCCCAAATAGTAAAAAATGTTTGGTCTTTTCTTGGACATGCTGGTTTCTATAGGAAGTTCATTCAAAATTTTCCAGTCATAGCTCAACCTTTGTGTAACCTTCTAGCCAAAGATGCTAAGTTCAATTGGACTCCTAAATCTGAAAAAGCTTTTTGAACCCTTGTCACCAAATTAACCACTGCACTGATCATACAATCATGAGATTGGAGTCTTCCATTTGAGATTATGTGTGATGCTAGTAACCATGCTGTAAGAGAAGTTTTAAGCCAAAGAAGGGAAGGGAAGCCCTTTGTTGTATATTATGTTAGTAGAACTCTTAATAGTGCTCAAAAGAATTATTCTACAATTGAAAAAAAAGTTACTAGCTATTCTTCTTGCGTTAGATAAATTTCATTCTTATTTCATTGGTTCACCTATTACTGTGTTCACTGACCATGCAACTCTTAAGTATCTTTTGTCTAAGGATGCTAAAGTTTGTTTGATTAGGTGGATTTTGCCTTTGTAGGAGTTTGATCTCACAATTAAAGACAAGAAAGGTCTTGAAAATGTGGTGGCTGATCATTTGTCTTAATTGGAGTTTAAGGACTCCAATATTGAAAGTTTACCAATTAGAGATGCTTTCCCTGATGAACACTTGTTTGCTATTAGCCAAGTTCCATGGTATTCTCACATTGTTAATTACTTGGTTTTTGGTGAAATTCCATCGAACTGAGGTGCACAAGATAAGTGTAAGTTCTTGGTTGA